GATTGGCTTAATTACTTAGTTGTTTAATAATAATTTCTTCATATCTGACTTCAATTCTGGTAGATTGGTTTAATTGTTTAGTTCTATTGTAGTTCCTTCAAATCTGACTTTAGCATTGGTTGATTGAATTTAAAAAGCAAAATTTAATAACCCCAGCCATCTCATAATCATTAGATAGTAGGCTTCCTTTATCATACCCCAAGAGTCCCACTCCCATCCTAACATTTTGTTTACTTTTAATGTATTTAAATAAATCCTTACTGTTAATTTTTACATTTTCAGCCAATCTTTTCTGATACATCCTTTTTGATGTCCCAATTTCCTGTTTCACCAGCTTCTTTGATCTTCTATAATCATCTAATTCTCCTGTCATACCAGTCAATTTAAAATTCTTAAACTTATGGTGCTTTTCTTTAATTTTATCCCTTAAACTCTTTGTGAGCCCACCTGTTTTTTTTTAATTGCAGCCACCCTTTTCTTTATATAAGGAATATGTTTACCTTGAATATGTATGAAATTTATCTTTAAATATTTTCCATATCTAATCAGTGTCTCCAAATAACTCAGCTGCCCAATTCACAACAGATAATTCTTGTCGCCTACCTTCAAAATTTGCTTTTATGAAATTTGTAACCAAAAATCTTTATTCCTTATCTCCATATGCAGCAAAACATTGAATCTAATAGAACAATGATCACTTGCACCCAGATGTTCCCCAATTTCCACCCTCTCGATCATTTCTATACTTGAAGTTAACAATAAATGTAAAATAGCGTTGTTTCTAGTAGGTTCCTTAACTAACTGGTGAAGAAAGTCATCCTGAACAGTTTCCTTACAGTTCTCCCTCATGGTTTGACTCTAGCATTTCCCTTTTTATATGCCTGAATTAAAATCACCCATAATTATGACTTTATTAACAGCTGAAATCTTAATTTGATTGTGTAAAGTTTTTCACTAATTTCATCAGTACCATTTGGTAGTCTGTAACAAATTCCCACTAGCCGCTTCTCCCTTTATATCCACTTATAGAAACCTAAATGGATTCAATATCCTTGCTATTATCTTTGATATCCTCAACTTCAGGAAGATATATTATCTATATGTTCTAGTTAAGATAAACCTGGAACGTGACGTTAGAAGTACGTTATCCATGTGTCACAGTTAAAATAATCGGGGAACGTGACGTTAGAAGTACGTTATCTATGTGTCACAGTTAAAATAATCGGGGAACGTGACGTTAAGAGTATATTATCTAAGTGTCACAGTTAAAATAATCGGGGAACGTGACGTTAAGAGTATATTATCTATGTGTCACAGTTAAAATAATCGGGGAACGTGACGTTAAGAGTATATTATCTATGTGTCACAGTTAAAATAATCGGGGAACGTGACGTTAAGAGTATATTATCTAAATGCCCTAGTTAAAACATCGTAGAATACAAGACTGGACTTGATGTCTTTTATTTTAAACAACGAAAAAATTATTAGGTATGGAAATTGAAATATTAAAGAGTCACGAATAAAATCTCCTCACGAATATGCATTATTTAGAGAAAATATATTTTTTTGTAAAAATCATTAGTATTGTGACTTGGTAATTATCATGCTTTATTTCTGCCCTCCAGTGGCACAGCGGTATGTCTGCGGACTTCTCACGCTGGAAACCGGGTTTCGATACCCGTGGTGGGCAGAGAACAGATAGCCCATTTTGTAGCTTTGTGCTTAACTTCAAACAAAAGCTTTATTATTAATTCATAACTTCAAGTTATGCCACGTTAGAGTTTCCTGTTTAAGTGGTAATAAAATCACTTTAGGTTTTCCTGTAGGAAAAACAAGATGTTGGTTGAGTAGATGTGCATGTCTGGAAAACGTCCAAAGTAGCCAGACCATGTCGGCCGAGTGGAATTTAAAAGTTTTTACATATATTTTTGCAAAGGGATGCGGTCATTTACAGGTCTCTTGTTGAAATGTTCGGAAAATTATTATATTTTCAATAACTGTCTTATGCTACACTAATGAAATAACGAAGAAAGTGTTCAAAATTGGTAAAACACACGTTTATGAAAAAAACTTTATTATTATTTGCAACTTTTTGGGCAGAAAATCTTCGTCAGGCAGTTTAAACCGTGTTACTTGGAAAAAAAGGCTTAGACAGAATAGTTGAAGGGTTAGAATATAAAGAGATTCTATATTACGTCCGTACTGCGTGGAGCACGTTAACAAAATATCGTTAGAAGGAACACTGTTGAAGCGGTTCTATAAACAATTTTAAAGATGGAAAACAAGTATTAAAAATGATAGAATTTAGAAATTAAAAGTACACATAAAAATAATAAACATAAATTCGAAAAAAGATAAAATAGTAATTTAAAAAATAATAATCGGGGAAGTATGTGTAGACAGTGTCATGTTAACAGTGGTGGCAAAGAGATATTAAAGGAAGCTGTAATCACTTAAAAGAAAAACGTTCATTAATTCCGTGTGGTGCGAGATAATTTAGTTTAAATATAAGTTTATGTTCTAGGCTTTCGCGATCATACTTGTTGTGAGGAGCATGTAATAAAACGAGTACACTCATGTCGTCAATTCCGTTGTGATCCAGGTCGTGTAGGTCGTGCTTGGACTATTAGTAAGTACGAATCCTAAAGTTTGTGGTTCGCAACCCGTTGCCACGTGTGAGCTGTAAGAGTGATGGTCGAATCCCACTATTCGATCAGAGATATCAAAGAGTGAACAGTGAGAGCTGTTGACTAGCTGCCTTTCCTCCTGTCTGTCAGTTCCAAGTTAGGGACCAATATGCGCAGATAACCCTTTGTGTTGCTTACCACAGTCCGAGAAACAAAAGGTGGAAAATCGCTAAACTATCATTCCTGTTAATTAATAACACATAGTGTGTCCTGCAGCAGGTTGTCTTGGCCGTACGACACACTGCCCTGTGTCTTGATAGGCCGTCAAATTGTTCGACTGTCCAGAAATGGTATGAAGTAAACGGACATTGACCGAACAGTGGGGTAACCCAGTGTACTGTATCAAGAATTCTGAAACGTCATCAGACTACAGGAAACTTTGTTCCAGGAAAGTCTATTGGTAGACACCAAAAAACTACTGACTGAGATGAACGTGTTTTGATCAGGTTAAGACGTCAAGGTCGAAAGAAGTCTTGCAACAACTTACGACAGAAATGGCATGAACAAATTTATTCCAAGATATCCAAAAGAACAGTGAATAGGAGACTGACCAAACAAGGTTATTTTGCAAGAAGGGTTATCTGCAAACAGATATTAACCAGAATTCACAGCTATCACCATATTACTAGGGCAAGACAGTATTCTAACGTACAGTTAGGACACTGGCGACATCTCATCTTTTCAGATGAGTCCTTTTTCCGGCTTGTTAAAGTTGATGGTATGATTAATGTTCGTCTTTTTCACAGGGAACACACAGGAGGTGGTGCAGTACATGTTTGGGCAGTTATTCATAATGGTGGAAAAACTACTCTTCATATGCTCCAGGGAAGAGTCAATGGCGCCTCCTACAGGCATCACATGGAGAAGATATCCCTGCCGTTCCTAGGGCAAGGTTTGGCAATAACTTTATGTTCCAGGATAACAATGACACTACCCACAGTGCGCGTATTATACAGGATTATCTCGAACAAGAGGACGTTACAAGATTGCCATAGCTAGCAAAGTCTCCAAACTGTAATCCCATTGAGAACTGTTGGGCAGAACTGAGCCGTAAAATTGCTAACCACGACCCTAAATCAGCTACTGTAGCTGAGTTGCAGCTCCTTCTAGTGACTAGTTGGGATGAAATCACGGTGGATTACATGCGTAACTTCATTTAAAGCATGCCACGTCGCCTTGCAGGAACAAACAAGTATTGAATGTTTAATATGAACTAATATAAGGTTACAGACGCTATTTATAATAACCTGATGTTATATTGTGTCATTATATATGAGTTGGTAAGGTTTTGTTGTAATGAGTGAAATTCTGAATTACACATCTTTCTACAAGTGTCTGATAAAATTGTTTACTGTTCTAATAAATCGTTCATAGAACCTGTCTCATTATAAAAATTACATATGTAGACGTTTAATATAACATACAGTTTGACAGTGCTAAGTGTATTTGTATTCCATCTTAATAATAATGATCTTATTTGTTACAAAATATGCAAACATTTTGACCAAGACTGTATTTTTTACGTTTCTCCTTATAAAGAGTGGAGTGCATTGTTTCACCAATTGGGTACCCTCGTTCTTCTGTTAACCCAATACTATCCCAAGGGGTTCGGCGAGCTTATGAAATTTAGGTTAATCCTAAATACAGATTCTAAGCTAAACAGTCTTTATACGAACAATAAGTCAAAATAAAAAGTGGTTTTTATTACAGATTTCCTTTCTTTTTACCAAAGGTAAAATTGAAAATATAATCTGTGACGTTGAGGCTTAACACTCTCCTTGATTGGCCGTGCCCTCTGCCGTGGACTGCACTTTCGCCTATTAAAGGCTCATTAGCACAGCTTGAGTCAAAAACCAAAGAAATACAGTTAAGTCTTTAATAACAATGACGTGTATTTTAAAGTTTTTTTTAACTTACCATACACTAATTTAAAGTCGATTTCTTTGTTTCGGGTACACTTTTCTTTATATTTGATTCGGGCGCTTTATAAACATATAATGGCGAGTTAAAAAATGACTTTAAAACATCAAAATAAAAAGTAATGACATTCGGTATTCTAGCTGTTATAATCAATATTTTTAATGTAAGCAACAATAAATAATCAATATAATATACTCTATACTGAGGACATATAAGCTAGTTCCTGTCTTGAAGCACCGTCGTAAAAACATATTTCTATGGAAACAGGAATCTTGTTCTCTCTTAACACGTCACTTTATCAATGAAAACTTATTACGCTTTTCTTACTGTATGATGTCAGAGGCTATTCCCGACTGTGACAATTAAACCCATTTGTTTTAGTTTAAATCGTGTTGAGAAGTAGTATCAACTTTTCCACGGTACAAACAAAAAATAATTTTTAAGAAGACACAAAATAATCCATCTTTAGTGATTATTTATTTGTTTTCAACATCGGTGTGTGCAAGTTTATCTTTTAGAAGAAATTGACAAAATTGAGCTAACGTGCTTTGATTAAGATTTCTATTTTAATATCTTAGGCCTATTATTGACATACATAATTTCCAAACGTTTGCAGTATGTAAATATCTAACATTTGTTGAAGTGCTTAGTTTGCATCAGATCCTAACAGTTTTGGATAGTGGACTGTAAAGACCGTAACACTATTAAAAAATGACACTTGGTCATCACAACTCGCAGATAGAGAGCAAAGGCGGATAAATAAGATTAGACACGTTAAAACGTTTATGTTTTCTGTTTTTTTTTTTGTTTTTTTTTATGAAACATATACTAGGGAAAGAAAACTATGAACGTCTTTAATGATGGATGTTTAATAAACACTTGTTTACATCTTTAATTAAATGGAGCAGCAGTGAAAACCATTTTCTGTAACGTAGTGACATCAAATTTCACTTCTTTCGTCTAAAAGTATGCACTGATACGTTGTAAAATTCATATATAAAACGTACGCATGTAAAAAGTTGGACCCATTTTTCTTTTTCATAACAAGGTAACGTAAGACTTATTTAGAGCGAACAGGGGATATAACATTCGAGATATGATTTAACTTGAGTTGAAAAAACAACGTAATTCGTGATTCATGGATTCACGACCTTGTCGATCCATGGCCTTAGTTTCGCTACGTGAGTATAAAAACCGTAATGACCCCTTAGTTTACATCCAATTCCCCAGCTAACAATGCCAACCTGGACCCAATAGTTCATTTCGGCGTCATCAACTAACGACTGTGCCAAAGGCCCTCCACTGTCTCCTTTACAAGTGTCTACAATACCTGCAAAAAAAGGTTCAATAAATACATTAATATTTTTCAATACTTTTACAAACGGTGCATTTGCTTTTCTTATTATCAAACAAGCAAACTTTAACAATTGATTATAACTAAATATAGAACTGCTAACAGAATAAGCGATAACTCAATACTTAGATTCAGTACTAAGAGCTCACCAAACATTTCTACGGCGGTTTTGACGTAATTATCAAAGCAAATATATTTAGTTACAGTATTATCTTGTCATTCTTGATTGCAAGTTACGTAAACTAACTCCCTAGTAAATAAAAGGTTTTCTAAACAGTTAACATTTCTCCAAACCTTCCACTGTCACAGCGGCAGGTCCGTAGGCTTATAACCCTAAAAACCGGGTTTTGATATCTCTGGTGAGCAGAACAAAAATAGCCCATTGTGTAGGTTTGCGCTTAACAACATTCTTCAAACGACGAGGTAATGCACCGCCATCTATCGTGAAAAGATATGTTGTGCCACTGACAGTTCCTTCTTAAAATGTTAAATGAAGATTAAAAGGTTTATTGACCAAGATTCTTTCTTCACTATTTTTCTTTTAAAATCCTCACCATTAACAACTCGAGCGCTTCATTCGTGTTTCCATTGGTCAGACTTAGGATTATCACAATGATTTTAGTGCTTACATCAAGAAATGTAATATTCCTGGGAGGTACAAAATTAAACTTGATATCTGACTATGTTTTCAAATCAATATTTAACACAATAAATGTGAATAAAACATAAGTAAAACACCTTAGGTTAGATTATTATTGTTGTTTTTTTTAAAAGTACATTGATAATTCTAAAATGTCATACACACACACCTTCATTGTCTCCAGCACAGATCATGAAATCAGTCATTTGTTTTTTAGTTTTCTCCAAACTTTTCACACAGGTTTCATGACTTTGGATAGGTAAACGTATTTGTTTCAGGTGATCAATGCCTTTTAAAGCTCCTTCATGATCCAGTTCTACTCGTTTATCGTGGCCCCATCCTGTCACAAAAGCGCTTTGTCCTGTCTCATACAGTGTACTATTTTCTGGAATAACTAATGTGAAAAAACGTTAATCAATTATAGATTTGTCTTATGATTCACATGTGCACAAAATATGTGATGCCATAAATATTATACCCATTCTTAAAACTATTCTTGGTGAATAAGAATGATGAGATATATATACAATCTTTAATTCTCTAAAGATGAAACTCGTGTGAAGTGTAAGTAAGCAGAAACATCATTTTTGTAACACCAAGATTGTCTTTTTTCTTTAATTTAATGGCGAAATCATGTCAAATATTTGGTTCTTTACATATTTCTTAGTTAGATCAGCTTTGAGGATTTCCATCCTTTGTCAGTAACTCTAAACAAGATAATTTAAAAATGTCGTGTTTATGACGAAAGCCACAATTTTGAAAGAAAACTAAGTCTAGGCATAAAACGCGTTCACATATATAAATAAAGAGCGAATCAAATAATAAATTAAGCCTCTACATCATCTCATTGGTTTGGATAAAACTACGAAGTAGAAAAGGAGATTGCAATAAAAAATCCTGATTATAAGTAATTAAGTCAATCAGCCAATGCTAAAGTCAGATTTGAAGGAACTACAATAGAACTAAACAATTAAACCAATCTACCAGAATTGAAGTCAGATATGAAGAAATTATTATTAAACAACTAAGTAATTAATTCGGTTTTTACTAACGAAGATTTAAGCAGTATTCCAGATCTTGAACAGTTGATAAATGGAAACGAGATAAAACAAGATGATAGCATTAATTTTGAACTGGTTAAGAAAAAATTGGGAAGTTTAAAAAACGATAAGGCTCCTGAGACAGATAATATTTCCACAAGAATTTTGAAGGAGGTTAAAGATTGGAAATGTTAGATTTTTTGTCAGTTCTTGAATATTGGACAGGTACCAAATGATTGGAAGTTAGCTAATGTAACTCCTCTTTTCAAGGGAGGTAATAAAAATTGTCCCAGTAATTATAGACC